AGTTGAAGGGAGCAGTTCTGCTTCTACCATTGTGAATCGGGGCTACTATTCCAAGCTTTCACATATCGGGAACTTAACTCTGGCCTAAGCAGCACTGAAAAACTGAGCTAAAGGTCCTGCCAGTTGGCTTGCTGCTGCTTCCAGTGCCTCTGGACGAATGGTGTCGACACCCGGCGAGCTGTGTTTGCGTAGAGACGTCAGCTTTTGCAATACAGCCTCCGCGGTAAAAGTGATGTGGGTTAGTCCTGGCGAGGAGACGACAAAGGTTGGAAGATCGCTTGGTGGCAAGACCCTCTGAAACGTGGGGCATATTGCATCCGCAGCGCGTTTGCTGCTTCCACAGCCGTTCTTGTTGGGCCATCAGCCGTCCTGAGTGGAGGAAATCCTTGCCTCACCTTTCGTAGGCTATTGACGTGCTTGTACAGCAGTTTGTGGTTAGCACTGAAGGTTTTTGCGATGTTCTGCTGATAGGCGGCTTTGTCTTCTCTTAGCAGTTGAGTGCAGTGGTTACGTTGGGCTACGTAGTTGTCCCAAGTTTCTGGTGCTGGAGCTTCTCTGTACACTCGCCATGCTGCGTTGCGTACTGTCATCCATTTTCGAGTTCTGCTCCTAACGAAAGAACCTGATGTGCACTTATTACAAACTCTTATCTCTGGAGCCTCTGCAATCAGCTGACTGAACTTGTTGACGAACTCCAGCCAAGCGACTTCCGGGGGTTCTTCGGTAAGGTACGACCAAGTTGTAGCGCTGACGAGCTGAGCTAGTCGATCGAAGCTTGTGATGGTTCGCACAGTCTCCTCGTACTCATTCCGATATTCCGCATAGCAGACGAAGTGGAAACTGATGGCTGCGTGATCACTGCGACCCAACGGGCAGTCTAAAACCAACACGTCAGTCATATGCTCCTCTTTGGTAAGCACAAGATCTAGCACAGATGGCCTGTTACCTGTTCTGAACTGAGTGGGCAAAGTGATGTGATTGTAAAGAGGAACAATGGTTACGAGATCTTGTAGATCGTCTTTGAAATGTTCTCCGAACGTGGCAGGAGTTTCTACACAACGTACGTTGAAATCACCCATGATAAGTATGTACATTTACTTTCGCTGTAAACTGCATCTTAAATCAGCCGCTAGGTGGCAGTAGTTTCGGGTGTTGAGTTAGGGGCGGTACACCAAGACAATAAGGCAAGCGTTCCTGCCTTTTAACTGCAAGCGGCAACAAAGAGAGTCGGGGAATTGCGAGACTGAACCGGCCACGACTTCGCACTCTAATTCGCTTCGATATTACAGGATTACCCCTCCTCCTTTTGTGAGCCTATCGTTCCGGATCAGCGACATACCCGATAGCGAAACTTCAGCGTCCGCCATTCCCGTGTGTAACCACGTTTCGGTGATACCAATGAAATCATATGACCCAGGTGATGGATGAGTTTTCAGTTCTGCCAGTTTATTAAAAAACCTTGAACATTCGCATACAAGCAAGCCACTTTCTCGATCTCTTGGAGCCCACAGAGGGTTGAAGGGGTCAAGTGTGGGAGAATGCCAACCGTTGGGAAGTCGGCAGTTACTCGTTTTTAGTTGGGATAATAATACCTCATCTGTAACTTGATTCGGCCAGGATTCACCTTAATCTGTTTCTAGACCTACGTCAGAGTCAATTAAAGCGGTCGTCAAGTTACGCTTCTATACATTCATCGATACGCTTACTGCTTCAGGTGCTTTAAGTTTTGAGTTGTGCGAAGCTACTGCCACCTTAAACCGAAGTTCACAGCGTCGATGTTCCCGATTTTTCCGCCATCGATCCGATACATCCGTTGCTTGTTTCTCTGCTTGAACCACAAGTTTTAGGGTTCTGGGGCTGTATACTTTATAATTTGGTGGGTGAGGTATCTTGTTGAGCGCTGGAGCCACAATATTATCCAAAAAATATGTTTCACAAATGAACCGCCGCTGTTCTAAATTGTGCTTTCCGGTCTCTCGAACATCGTTAGAAGGATGTTCTGGCGCACCATGTATGAAGATTGTATTTAAGCAGCCTAGCTTGATGTGTCCTTCTTCGGTGTTTCTGTTTGATTGTCGCGTGCTCCAAGGGACATCAGCATAGATGTATATCCCACAGAACCTGTTTTAGCGCGCTTTCCAAGAGCAAAACCTTTTCTACGTCGGTAGTGGATTCTAGTGTTACTCGGATTGGTCTGGGTTCTCCATAGTGTGGCGAGTTCGAATGTCCGGTAAGCCGTAATAGTTGTATGGGTTTGGCTTTGACGCTCATCATCATGCATAATGAATTGCATTGCTCTTGGTCGTCCGATAATTTAACACACAATTTGATGGCGGTAGCTTCGACATTTGAGCACACAACAGTGAGGACACTATTGTTGGATCCCTTTTTCGTTGATCTATAAGGTAGGGTACTCGTTTCTCCTGATCTGATGACGAGTGCTGATTGTTTACTGCTTGTCTCTCTATTTGCGTTAACGGTGTTTTAAAACAAAAGTGGCTGCGGTTGCGGCCTCCCGACTGACCTTTGCTGTAATCTGTGGATATGCAACTGATGCCCCGAAGGGATTTGTCTCGACAAGTGACATTTGAGCTACAGGTACTGAGGGTTGGTATTCGGCTACTTCATCCTTGCTAATGATAGTTCAGGTCTAATTAAGTTTGCTTAACCAGACGTTTCGAGTGGTGCCTGACATTCCTTGCTATATTGCATGCGGAGTTACGGTCTAACGATGAGCGATCGAAATATTCCCTGACATACATGGCGAGTGCTGAGGATGCCCATATTAAAGTTAAGCTTAGCGGAGCGTGACGCTAGATCGGTATGAGTAGGCTGACCAAGGTTATGTATGGCTCACCGCACCAGTGGCGTCGCCTAGCCAATCAGGTATTAGTGAGGCAGCTTATAAGTGTCTCCTGATTGTACGATGGGCAGTAGATAATGAGTTCTCACGGGCAAAATAGCAAGCGATTGTCCGGTTCCGTAGGATGAGTGACGCACGTGTTACAGAGCCACGAGAAAAGTGGCAAAAAGAAAGGGAAACGAAAAATTTGCTTTTGAAGGACATGAGCACCGATGCAGGTTTCCTACCTCTGCGTTGGGTGATGAACACGCCGTTTTAGTTTGCAACATTGCGTTTTCCGATTGAAACGGACTATAACGCGTTATGCAAACATCGTCCCTAAGTGGGCACAGGCGTCCTGTCTTGTAGAAGTCACAGTGGCTTGATATATATATATATATATATATATATATAATGTAAGAAATAAGGGACCTGGACGAAAGTTATCGCAACAGCTTGGGGAGTCGAAGTGTCCTGAGCGGTCTGAGTCAGATACCACGCCACATCCTCAGTTTACTTACATTCAAGAAATGCACGTGGAATTGGGAAATGTTGAACATATAAAGAACCCGGAAGAAATGATCGGATTGCTCGCAGTGGGAAGCAAATTCGGCAAGGAGAATATGGGATTTTTACCATTCAGCCGGCTGAAGTGAGTATGATAAGTAAAATACACAAGAACTAAATTGAAAATCCGAGTAAACCACGTTCACGAAAAGTAGGCTGAGACACATTGACTTGCTGAGACATCCGAAAGAGAGGAAGAGAAGCCCTTTCGATTTTCAATGCACTGCGGACGCCATGCAAAGAACGATGTATGCTACGGTATTCGATCTGGAGCTGCACGACCTACAGACAATTCGTTAACATGGATGGCTGTTAAAACCCACGGCATAAATGGTTTTTCAAGAACCACTGCCCTACATACGTGGAGGCAATTCCGTGGCACTCATAGAATTCCTTTTCATCCATTGCAGTAGTTCTGATAGATCCACAAGTGTTGGAGTTCACAGCAGTGGTGAGACACTTGTTGTAGATATCGGATAATTAGATGGAGTGGAAGAATCGGCATTCTTCATTCAGACTGTCGGTGAAAATGCATCCAGACCAGTGACTTCGTTTGACCTTAGACTTTTGATCTTCTTTCAGAACTCATCTTGATCAAATGTTATAGATAAATCTAAACTCGGTATTGAGTTTGACCAACTTAAATCTACCGCTTTGGATGCAGGCGATTTAATCACGGATTTGCCTCAAAAATCTCATTTGTACATGTTAACTGTGCTATAAACTGTTCAGTCTTGATGCCTAAACTTTTGTCCCCCAAGTTTTGGTGCCGCCCAGACTTTTAGTATATTTCTGTTTTCAGTTTAACTGGCAAAGTGAGTAGTTAATTCATTAACTCCAGAAAGATTTTTCCAATCATCAGTTTCACTACTTCAGTGCTTCGCTGGTCTCTTAACAAGAAGCTACCGCTTCCTAACACTGACTAAACAAAATCCTCGGTGGAGGTAGTCTTTTGGGCACTGATGCGTACCGCGTAAAATCCAGTCTCAATCACAGTGTTATCAGCTAAGTGCTGCACAGTATCCGCGATGAACGGAACAGTAGACCATCGAAACCTGCAACTATACTACAAGCCCCCTTTACCTACATTACGCTAACCAACACAGACAAGTAAAACGGGTGAAAAAACTGGTGGAACAAAAAATGACATTTCAAAACGGCAGAGAACAATGATATAGCAAGAAATGATAATCCACACATCATTATAAGTGTCGTATTCAAGCGGTAACACTTGGAGCCCATAGACTGCTTAAATGATGTCGCTGGCTTCTCGGCCAAACCGTGTTCAATATTATGCCGCTGATAGGGCCGATCACAAGGTCTCTATGTTGAGGAACGATACGCTCTGAGGTGACCCAGTTTCATAATCACTAGTGTTATTTCGGTTACTCTGGTACCAGTTGATTATGGGCCGATAAGTGCCAAGCCCGCACACTGGTTTAAGCATTGTGCAATTTTTAGAACCAAACGGGGAGGTTGGCCATACCTCTCGGTAGCTCAATACAGTACCATAGGTATGAAAAGTAGACGAATGAAGTTTAACCGTGTGGTGCACTATTGCCATGCATCTAACCGTCTCTTTTCTATTAAGAACCGAGGCGGAACTTCAAACCAAGCATTTGGCCAGCACCAGATCCCAACTGTCCGATCATTTGTCTCGTCTGACGCGAGACAGAGACGTAGCGATGCAAAAAGATAGGAAAATCCAGCACGCTCTGCAGCCGCTTCGAGACGCGGCGAAATTTGCTAAACATTTATTGGGTGAACGAAAGGCTGCATGTGTCGCAATGCGGCAACTAGGACCGGACAAAGATTTGATCACACAAAGAAACGACCTCTTGAAAGCGATTGAACACTTACAAAAACGAGCTGTGGAACAAGTGAGTTTTGGAATTTCGTGTGATAGTCCATAAAATCCGATGTGCGTAAAAGACCACTGAACTGTGTGTTATTTAACTTACTATATATATATATATATATATATATATATATTCAACGTGGCGAGACGGCCCAGTGCACTTAATCAGATAAGGTTCATAAAAAATTCCATCTGAAAACACAGAACCGCTGTACAAGACAAATAGTAATTCCTTTTCCACCGACTCTTCCACCATTCATTTTGTTTCAACAATGCTTCAGAAGGAATAACAGTGAGGCATAGTTCAGGTTTGTAGTATTCGTTTGTTCGATGATTCTGAGTTCTTCCACGTTCACTGAGGTCGTAATAGACCTGTAGAGCTGGAAGGCAAAACAAATAGTCTGTATCTGGCTGGATGAAGTTATCACAACCATCTAGCAAGAGATCGGAGTCAGTATGAAGCTGTAGATATCGCTATCTCGAAAGTGGGTTGCGACAGACAACAGCTAGCTATATAGTCAAGTCCAACGTACCACGCCTAAGATCGCAAAGTAAAGGGATAAACGGTAGCATGTGTCAGCGTCCAACCATAGTTGCGACCGTCTTTGATCCATGTACTTAAAGTACCTACAATATTCTGGTAACGGAAGAATCTAATACGTCGTTCGCAAGAAGTGTTATACGAACGGTCGTGGATCTGTTAAAAAGGTTTATTCAAGTGGAATGTTTCAAAAGGGCGAAAAAGAACAAGGAATATGGAGGTGATTAAGTAATGGGCGCCCAGAAAATGGTGTTAAGAACATACATGCTACTCATACATTGCAATAATTTTAAAATAGAGATATCAAATGAGCAGACAAGATAACACTTCCACGGCAAAAGTTTGGGCTGAGAAATGTCCCCTTTAGGAGATACCTAAATCCTTTAGGACGTTCGACTTCCTCCTGCAGATGGTGATATATGCTAAGAGAGGGCAAATGGAATTGTGGCCAGTTGGTTGTCAAACAGACGGTTTTTCTAAGGAGATAAAGCGTTCCACATTTCGATACGTTCACTTCTTGCAGGCACTCATATGTCTTTCCTCCAGCTGGGTACGTTCGATGCGACACGACAGAAGAGCCAAAGACAATGCTAACTTATCCAAGTCCCCAATGCGCGCTAATGTTTCACAGACCATCAGTGAGTCTTCAGGCAAACTGAGAGCAGTAAGAAGCAGTGTAGAGAAGTCAAACATAAATCTCATTTATTCGACCTATCAATGTACTCAAGTTGTCCGCTGCTGCTATAGATGAACACATTACTTTCTGATTGGACTTTAAGTTGTAACCAGTGGGTTTCTGTTCAAGTTACGCTTATCGACTCGGAACAGGCAACAAGACAACAACTACCTCCATTGAGATATGGGACCGCAATACAAACTAGAATTTAGTCAGAAACCGGCCTTCGTCACTTTGAACATTGACTGCTGTTGCCTGCTGAATTAAGTAAAAACTTTGAATATAGTCAATACTCAACTGGATGCCGTGTATGCTCATGGGCCCCCTACGTTCGTGCTGGAAGATCTAGGCCTAAATTCATTGATCTGAATTGGTAACTGGACGCTATGCAAGCGCTTTCTCGAGTGTTTTCATAAGGAACTGTTTTTGTTTGTTGTTTGTTTGTTATTTCAGTTGCCTTCAGTGCTTACGTTTACAAAGTAGAGCATTCTTCATTCTCACCCACTGCGGTAAAATTTAGCTCTTGCAACAAAATGAAATAAGTCAGTCACAGCAACATAGAGCTAGTGACAACACCTATGGAAAGTTAGTTGCCTATATATATATATATATATATATATATATATATATATATATGGCCCGATCATTAGTGCAGAGGATTATGGTGTTAGTTACCCCTGGAGTACGACTGTCCATGAAACTGTGCAGTACAACTGCACTGGAGTTATCTTACACAAGCGGCCTCTATCTTTTTTCTGAGAGTGGTTCTCAAGGTGCAGGTGCCGTTACCTGTCATACTTACTCGATGACTTTGTGTTCTATGGCAACCCATCTTCACATCCTCTCTCATTCCTTCGTTTTCTGGCACACGGTGATTGGTATCTTTTTGAAGCCAGTTGGCGCAAGGAGGATGTGTTCTCCATAGGGCGTTATTCGCCTATTATTTTACTTTAAAGCAATAGTCAAAGGACGTCCTGTGAAGACACCTGAGAAATGGAGTGGTTGTAAATATCTGTAGCTCTTGGCGTGGAAGTAGATTTTGCATTGCTCTTCAAGCAGATTGCTTGATTTGTAGATATTTCGTCGTTAGACTAGGTAACATCGTCAGTGTGAATTCAAAGGCCTGATTCGTAGAGCCTCCTAGACGACTTCGCACTCCAACGGCTTATGATGCAACTTTGCTTCGAATGACAGGTTTCAATGAACTCACGTACCTTCGAGCTTGTGGCTCTTTCGAGGCTTTCCACTTGCTCCAGATCGAACTGGCTGCTTTCGACTTCAATATACAAGGACATCGAAGAATTCTGATAAGACGACGAATGGCTAGGCTGAATTCATGTAGCCTTATGTCAACCTTTCATAGTGTCTGTCCTATGTAGCATATTACACAGTTTCAGCAGCAGGTCTTGTAAATTCACCGGATATTTCCCATTTGAAATGGTCGTCATTCAAGTTGAAGAGTTGACGGCGAATTGTCTCCGCTTGCTGGTGGGCAACCTTGATATCGCATTGTCTTCGAAATACAAACAAGCATCCCTATACTGCGACAGCTCAATGATCCTCTTGGACTGCACTTCGATGGAAGGTGCAGCATTTACATGTTTATTGTTTGACCGATACTTGGACGCAATCAACCTTGCGATCAGCTTATCATATCAGTTTTCCTTGACTATTGGACTGCATTTTGTCCAGTTGATTGTAACTTTTGGGGACGATGTTGGTGTTTAAAGGGCCCACCTGAAAAAGGTCCTACTATTCTAATCTTATATTGCCACTGAAAGCGCGGTTTTGTAATGATCGAACGAAACTCTATCCTGCCTTGCTCACGACAAGTGGGACGAGTCAAGATTATTATCTTTCTCTGTATCTTCTGCAAATTTGCGGCCAAAATGATCCCGACCACTCTTTCATGTCTGATTTCATTTCTCCTGGGATCGGATTTCTACCATACGTTCGGCAGTCAAACCTGAAGTAGACAGATAAAGTGCTTCTCCTTGGGTAGGAACAAGCGGCCATGCTAGCGCCACTGCACACATAGGCGCCTAGCGTTTCACACTTTGGAGCGTACTTGGAACGTACTACTGTGCTGGCCCGGCTCACTGTCACAAGTCAATCACACGAAGTGGTAGATCAGTTTACTTATCGGTGCAAATGTATCGCCTGTGGCGGTCACAGCACCGTCCATGTCCTCATCCTCATCAATACACATTAGCTGAGAGTAAGAAACACCCCAAGAAATGTGCCGCAATAACAAAATACGATACTGAAAATTTACTCTACAAAAGATATGACAATCAAGGAATATAAGGTTAAGTAATGTAGTATGCATTTCGCATAATTCGTAACTGAAAAGGGGAATCCAAAGGGGAGGAGTGGACAAAGGAATTCACAACACAATCGCAATTATGGTCGGCTATTCGTCATTTCAGCAAGTGTAGTCAACCAAACGTTCTTGGGACCCCAACCAGGCAGTCGGGACGCAGCAACCTATGCCAACGTCGAAGTGACGGAATTCATGCCTTTTGACCAAGTCATCGCTTGCCCCCTCCTCCTCTTCCAACAGCAGTCCCGATGCCTAAACAATGCACGACACAGGCATCGGGGTGTTGGCATGCGCAACACGTCGCCCAGCCATCGAAGCCTGGTACGTGATATAATGGTGCTGAGCGGTTCAATCCCTCTTCCTGCAACAAGTACTCCACACCGAATACATTCATTGCTCACGCGGTGTTCCCACCAAACATGAGCACAGAACAGATTGCTGCACTGCTTGCCTATTTATATGGCCTATCCAATTCTCAGTCACGGATGGAAACAGCAAGGTGGAAACTTGGTGTTTGATGGAAGGGTTAACAAGGTTGCGGAGCAGTAAGTGTGATCGTATGGAACAGAGACCTGGCCGCTGAGAGCTGAAAAGCACAGGGGTTAGATGAGATTTGACCGCCGATGCTTGTGAGGTTGCCTTCATATCTGGTAGACGACGGACCTAGTGCTTAAAACTGAAGTTCTTCTTCTGGTGTTTAGTATCCGTCTCCGGCGCCTCAGTGGAGTGTCTATGGAACTTGAATGACGTCTGTTAGTTCGAGCGTGTACTCCACATGTCAGTCAGTTGGCTGCCCGAACCTGTCTTGTGTGTCAATACTGCGTCTAACTGATGAACTTCCAAGATGACTAGCCACTAATATAGCAAGAACCCATGAAGATGTTCACCGAAAGATTGCGTCCGGTTGGCGCTTGTCGGCTCCTAAGATGAGGCCTTCTGGACTGACCACAACAATGGGTCGACACGAATTCAGGGAGATCTGCAAACAATTTGGCTGTTTTAAGACAGCTAACTGGGTGCACAATCTCAAGCGTGCAGACTGTGCACAAGTATACATAGGCCAAACAGGATTAGAGTTACGAACACGGATCGTAGGACACAAAAGGTGCATTTTGCGATCACCGTGCAATGAACTTGACTACAGAACTATGTTAAGAAATTCTGCTGTACTGTGCATGCGCTGGAGAGCGGAGACCCGATCAAGTTAGCTACCGTTGTGATACTTAGCAGTTTGCGAGCGAAGCTCCAGCAGTTAACTGCCGAGGTGCTCGCAATCGCCAAAGCCAACATCTGTGTGCATAGTATAGAGTGGGAAGCTGTCGACTGCGTAGTCAACTATCTTGTCCCGACCAAGCTGATGAGCGTGGATACGCGTGCCAGTCTGTGTAACAAAGACCGACATTATTATCATCACCCCCAAGACCGTAAACTGGCCGCACGACGGACAGTGCAACCCTTGAAATAGTCCTACCTTGAGTGCGC